GAGGTTTAAACCGCCGCCGACTAACCAACCGTCCATTGGCTGGAGAGTGGAGTTCCGTCCGATGGAGATCCAGATGACTGACTTCGAGAACGCGGCTTATGCTGTGTTTGTCGTACTTTTGTCACGAATTATACTTCAATACAATCTTAATCTCGTTATTCCCATCTCTAAAGTTAGAAATTCTTATTTTCCTTATAATCACTTATATTTTATTAAATATTTTTAATTTTGTGATAAACAGGTCGATGAGAATATGAGGGAAGGACAGAAGAGGGATGCCATCAATAGATCTAAATTCTGGTTCAGAAAAGACATCTTCAGCTCAAATGAATCACAAAAACTCAATAATAACTCAAATGGTTATAACGATAATCACGAGACACAAGACTCTGAAGAGGAATCATATATACAGATGACTATCAATGAGATAATTAATGGTTACGGACAGGAATTTCCGGGATTAGTGCCACTAATGAGAGAGTATATGAAGAGTATATCACTGGACGCCTACACTTCCTGTAAAGTCCAACAGTATATCCAATTGATTGCCGACAGAGCGTCGGCTAAACTCCAGACAAACGCCCAATGGATCCGACATTTTGTTCGCAAACATAATGACTATAAATACGATTCTGTGGTCAACGATACCATCACTTATGACTTACTCTTCACTTTAAATCGCATTCAAAATGAAGACTTAAATATCAATGAATTATTTGCAGATTACAGACAAACTATTTGTTAATTACACTCACATAATTATGAGAATTTGTAACATTTTTGTTTAAACTAGTATAATTTTTATTTACAATACTTTATAAACACATCATTAATTACATAAGACAAAAAAAGTAAAAATAAAAGTTTTTAATACACAAAAAAAGTTTTATGTAATGCGTCCGCGACAGGACTCGAACCTGCAATCTCCTGATCCGGAATCAGATGCCTTATCCATTAGGCCACGCGGACTCGTAAGTACGCTATGCTTTACATAACCTGTTAGTATGTGCTATATAGCACTCATAGGCAACATTGAGAGTATACTGTTTGCAATAATTCATATGTTGAACAATACTATTGAATAATATTATAATAAATTATACATTATAAAAACAATTTCTATGTCTCATTTATTATATATTTTATTTTATTTAAATTACATTAATATTTTATATGAATTTATTTTACCTGTTGAAGTGTTTAGCTTGATAAACACTTTTATAATGAAAATTGTTTTCCCATTTACATATTCATAAAATTTTGTTTTCAACCAATTACTACTAATCATATTCTTGAATCTTTTAAATAAATATTCATTTATATTACATTTATTCAAATAAGATTTGAAGATTAAAAGATTTTTACTTATTTTAAAGATTGTTATTTAAAATTCTGGATATTATTATAAATACTGTATATAGGAACAGGTATTATATTTCTAAGAAGTTGCAACAATTTCGAAATTATCGATTCAAACTTTTAGCTCCCAATAGAGTTTGTTCAATACGAGTTTATTAATTATTTATAAAACTTTTAAAATGAATAAAATAATAAAACTCCCACATATAAAATATCATTTTAAATCCCATATCTGTATAACTTTTAATGCAATGACCAATGTAAAAGCAAAGTTTTCCAATTAGACCTAAAATTAATGTTAATTATGCAACTGATTTGGTCTGTTAAACTCATCAGATGTGCCCGATCACTGTCTAACAATTTAGACATGTATTCTCCATAAATCTATTTATACCAAACGTACGACAATTTTTTATTACAAAATATCAACATAAATTTGCGAAATTATATTTCCAGTTACAGTACTAATTACGTATTGTTTGCTCACAAACATCATCAGTTTGTGTTCAAATCACTTCACTTATGCAATAATATTAGTTTTCTGAGTCCACCTCTGGTTTGCCATCAATAAGTCATTTTCATTCAATAAAAACAAGTTTTGTCTTTCATATGAGTAGATGTCTGCATCTGAATGGCTATTAATAGATGTGTTCCGAGAATACAGTTTTTGTATTAAATATTTATTCCTTAATATAATAATATGCTTAACTGAATGCCGTTCCCCTATATAAATGTTTGTCCATTTCATATGTACTCTATTAGGACTTTGGACGTCATTTGAATGTAATCTCTCTCTTAAAATAAATTAAGAGCTAATTGTAAATACAATCACATAAACAATATGAAACTACTGATCATAAAGTTGTTCACAATTATATTTTTTGCATTAATTGTTGAGTCGATTCCTACCAAAAAACAATGCATTGAATTGATGACAGCATTGGATACATACAATGGTATACTATTTAACTGTTTATTAAATAATTGCAATTTTATTTTGTGTAGAAAGTTGGTCAACTATTTGATGTTAATTTTGACATTTTATTTTATTTTTTATTTTTCAGAGAAAATAGGAGACTTGGCTACTGTTAACGGCGCCGGTATTGACAGTATTTATGGTATTTATGCCGATTGTTTGCGGGCCCGGGAGGGCATTCGCTTCAAACGCAAGTTTATCAACTATTTACCTGAAACTGCCAAAAATTAAGTGAACTTAATTTAAATACTCATATTTAATTAATTGTTATTTTTTGTTAAACTTATAAATTAAAAATATCAAACTGTAAAATTATACACATATATTTGCCTATTAGTAGAAATAGCTGTGAGCTAGTATTATAATTTGGTTTAATGACAATTCACTACTGAATCTCCCATACAGTAATAGTTTATTCATATTTTTGTATATTTATATTTTGTCAATGACTTGATTATCAGTTTTCGTTTATATTGAAATCACATAATCAATAGTAAAATAGTTTTATGCTACAGTTATATTATTAATTATAATATGGTTTAATATATTTAGTTTGATTACTGATTCTCTGTATTTATAACTTATACCAGTAATTAGGATCTATGGTACAATATGTGTTATAATTATAATATAAAAAAGGTGTTCAATCGCAATATTGTCATACAATATAAATTATCTGTTTGTAAACTTTCTTATATTTCATATTAAACAGCCAAACGTTTGTTAATTCAATTTAACTATTTAATAATTTATTAATAATAAAGTTAATTTTAAATTAATTGTTATTTCTAAACTAAAATAAAATGTTGTGCATTATTATATAAGCAAAAATAAATTAATATTTAATACAGATAACATTATTATGATATAATTAATTGGGAACAATATTTACTATAATTCATATGATGTGTAAAATTAGCATAAATGCGATCGTAAAGTAAGGCAGGTCCACTCATATCTATATCCCCCATATATTTTAACCGCTTTAATAGTCTCATACCATTGCTATCAGCCTCAATGCTGGGAATGGGAGGTAGTGGTCGACACTTGCGGTTACAGTTTCCGTGCGGCACATCAATCATATCAAACGGACCGGAGTTTTGCAAATAAAATCGCGGGTAATATGACATCAATATAGTATCGGACAACTTTTCAATATTGGTGGGCACAGGAACTGTCTTTTTCTCAATCATTTCATTTATGGCTACAATATTGATGTCATGAACTGAGCACAAACTACCGAACCCGACATATAATGTCTCATCTACTGTCACATTCGTGTCTAATATGTAATCATTATTTTTAAGACTATCGTCAAAAACAATTGAAAATAAATTGTTGTCATTTTGTAATTGCCATCTAAATAGAACCAGATCATTGTAGTATTGATTCAGTAAATAATATACTGGGCTATTAAAAATATTAATACAATAAATTAATCAATCATTATTAAAATTATCAAGCATAATTCAATAAATCAGAATAATACTTACTCATAAGCAGCCTTATTTGTACTAATATGACCATGATTACCACCTATTGCTAATTGTGTCTTAAATAAACTAAAAATACTAAATCCAACAAATTTGTGCCATTTATCTGTTGTTTGTAAGATTGACATCAAATATTCGGGTGAAGGCATGGGTAGCAAACTGTCATCTCTAAGCCACTGGCGCCTAATACATGGACTCAAATTGGCAAACAGGCCGTCCCTCACACAATAGTCGTTGTATTTGTTACCCGAGTGACCGAAATAGTCCCAAATCAGTGAATATTTAGCATCTGATGAATCCATGGGTGAACTCTGTATTCAATTTGATATTAGTTTATTTTATAGTCTAATATTTACTATTAGTAGGTTATTTAATAGTAACTGACCCAGTATGGGAGAGTAACATTTGGATTAACCCGTCTCATTTCAAGTTCAAATTGGTTGCTAAACCATCGCATCCAAAGTGGAAGCTTTAGATAATTTATACCACTTTTCCATAGGTTTTCATATAATCTCTTGAATCGCTTCATAGCTCCCGATGAATACAGTTTCATAAACACGTCGATCACATCCATGCGCTCGTCGTGTGTCAGACATTTGAAATCTCTGCGGATATACAGCTTAGCACATGGAGGTTGTTGTGGCCTAAAGCGAGGATTCTTTAAGAATCTGTTCTGGATATAAGTGCGGGCCTTCTCGACCTCGTGATCCGTTAATAGGATATCTTGTGGGCAAGTTTTGTGTAGCTTTTGTATACATTCCCTCTCATATGCTAATCATATTATAAAATAATTAAATATTTATTTTGAATAATTAGAGAAAACAGTTACCTTTTAATCCGTTTAGCGAAATGGCATATTTTGATTCAATATTACATTTAATGAAACCTAATTTTACAATAAACACAACAAAAATATGTTTTACAATTTTATTCATTATATTTTGGAAGTGTTTAGGGTTTTAATGATTATATAAAATGTTATGAAATAGTAATTAAAGTAACCTGTTATAAGTCTGGAAAATAAAAATTTGCAATTAAGTGAAAATTTTTAAATTAAATTTTGATATTATTTTTAGACTATCCCTGTTCATTAACTAATGTACCACAGCCAGCACACATTTTAACACTACTGAACCGTAGTTGTGCTCAATTTTATTAATCACAAGCTTTTTTGAGAAATAAGTTTTTTATTTATTTAAACTAATTTATTGTTTTGACAAATTATTACAAAATTTTATATCCATTTTTTATTAAAATTTATTTATTATATAAAATGTTTTCTAATAAAAATCACATTGCCATTATAATTGTGTGTTATTTTACAAACTGCATTCATACTGTTTTGTCACAGAAGTCTAACTCTGAAAAAATTCAATCGATTCGTGAAAATATAATCAGATATTATGGCAAAAGTATTGCCAGTGATGT